AAATTAACGTTTAATAAGTTTTTTAACTAAATAGTTAATTAGTAATAAAGTTTTTTAACTAAATAGTTAATTAATATTAGATTTTGTTAGAGAAAAAATATAGAAAAATTTTAATTTTAATTTTAACTTTTTAAAAGTTGGGTCCATTTGACCCAATTCGAGACTCGTGTGGGTGGGTCGTGGGTTATGGGTCAACCTTCTTAATCCGACACTCAAAATAATCCAATCCAAACAACTCGAGATTCGAGATGACTCAATTCGAACTCACCCAATCTGACCTGTTTGTCAGGTCTAGAGAAAAGGGATAAGAAAAATAACCATAAAACAAAATTTTACAAGTTAAGTAATTATAAAAAAAAGAATTGGTAAAGACTAATGTAAAAGAAAAAAAGACAATCATTAAAGAATGATTTTTTTATTAAAATAATAGTTGATATTTTTTTACTTTCAATTTTAAAGAACCATGAATTTGATTAAATAAGAATTAAAAACAACTAAGAAAGATGAAAAAAAAATAAAAGTATAAGATAAAAATTATTTGATTATTAGAATAAAACTTATATATTAAAAAAATTAAAAGGTAAAAATTTCTTAGATTAATAATTTACATTTATATTTATATTTATATCTATATATCTATCTATCTATGTCTATATATTATATAAAATATTATACTCAAATATTAATTAGGCACTAAAATTTGTCATTTTTATTTTAATTATAAAAAGTATATTTTGTTAAAAGTTAAAAAGAAAATATAGTATTTTTACATTCAAATATAGTAAATATACGTGTTAATAATATTAGTTTTACTTTTTTATCTTCTTCTCTTCCACTTCCATTTCTTTTTTTAATATTCTCAATTATTTTACTATTATTAGCTTTCATAAATATATAATGAATGAATTAAATCAAAGGAAGATAAAGAGATGTTTGATTTTTATGAAGAATAAAAACATATGATTACATTTTATTTATTATCATTTATATCACTATTATAACACTTTTAGTCATTATTTATTTTTATCATTTTTAATCTTTTTCACCTCAACCACTTTTGTTTTTGTTGGAAAAAAATATGCACAAGGAAGTGAGATCTAAAAAAGCTTGG